TGGGAGATGAAGTCCACGCATCTTAAAGCATGCTGGCTGGGGAATTCAGGGAGTTGAAGTCCACCCACCTTAAAATTGCTGAGGTTGAGAAACACTGGTGTAAACAAACGACGGGTTGCAACTGAGTTCACAAAATGCCCTTGGAAAAAGTACATTTTGGCTCTGAGGACTCCCCTCTCTTGCTGCTGTGGGGCTTTCCAGATGTGCCCTTTCTTTCTTCTAAAGCAGCAGCTCTCAAAGGGTGGTCTGGGGACCCCTGGGGATCCCCGAGACCCTTTCAGGGGGTCTGCAAACTCAAATAGAGAAACATTTTAAAATTTCTCCGTTTCAATTTTTAATACAGTAAATATCAGTAGATTCCACCCACCACAACCAAAGTTCTTTGGGGTCCTCAATCATTTTTAAGCATGTAAAGGGGTCCCGAGACCAAAACATTTGAGAACTGCTGTTCTAAAGCAGCCTGTGAATGTGCACGGAGGATGCAATGCAAGGGGGTGCGACCGATGGGGAAGCAGGGAGAACTTACAGTCGTGATCCAGCAGAAACATCCGTGCAAATAAAATTAGTTTGGGCTGACCTTCCTCCAGCTTGGATGGAGGAGAGATGTTTAAGTCTATGAAAGGGAAAAAGCAGGACGAGTTTGGGAGCACCGTTTGCGAGGCCCGAACTTCATTCAGGCAGAAGCTTTCGTGAGCTACAGCTTTATTCAAGTTTGGGGGTCACAAACGGTGCTTCCAAACTCGTCCTGTTTTTTTGCTTCTCCAACCAGTGGCTCAGGGCTGTGGTAGAATACCAACATCTGGAATTTTTGTAAAAAAATGAAGGTCTGGGCACTCTTCATGCTTGACCCCAAAGGCAGAATGTGCAGCTGGTGGAGGAAGACGGGAGCTTTGGAGAGGTTTGACAGCCTGTGCCAACAACTTACGATGACAATTTTCAGAGAAAGGAGGGAGGAATTTAAACTCACTCACCCCACTTTCTGCCTGGTTTATTATGAGTCAATTTTTCTCCTGAACTTGGCTGATTGTTTTTCGTCTTTAATGTTCTTGATCGGCATTAGAAAGAGTCTGAGATCTTAGTTGCTTATTCGCGGCCTGAAAGTATGCTTTAGAGCAATAAAGTATAAATGTAAATAAAGCCTTTGCTGAGCTAAGGTATTTTTTCCCCGAAAGAAGAATGCTACTGCAAGATTCTTCAGAGCCCCAGGCCTCTGTTTCCCAGCTGACCGTGACAGAAAGAACCAAGCTGGTGATTTATTTATTTGTTACGTCTGTCTCCTTCCAGACCTTCCAGATTCCAGAGCTGTCTGCCATTGGGAGTTTTAAAATACATAAATAAATGCATTCAGGAGCAAAAGGCAGCATGCAGAGCCTCCCCGGTTTTCCCAACAACTCTTCCCTGAAAGGAGGTTGAATAGAACACTGATGAATAAAATCAACAAATTAAAAGAATAGAG